AGAAACAAGTGCCTTACTAGTAGTAACAGAAAAGCTATTAGAAACAATTGCCTTACTAGTAGTAACAGAAAAACTATTAGAAACAAGTGCCTTACTAGTAGTAACAAGAAGCTATTTAATTTTGAATGTTTGTTTCACGCATGTCGTGACGGTATTTCCACGTCGGCAGATTTCCATGGCCGGCTTTTCTCACGGGCTGGGTGCGCACCTTTGGGAGAGAAGCCGTCAGGGTTCACCGTTTGGCAAGACCGACTCGGACCAAGGCTTTTGACATGGTGCGGAACGAAGTGTCAAATCGCGCGAACTTCGACATTTTGGAGGTGAAGAAGTGCTGAAATGTATTAACTAGGCTTTTAGCTAGTAGCAATGGCCTCCACCCTAGTAGCGATGGCCTCCAACCTACTTAATTAAGTAGGCTTCTGGTTGATACAAAGCTTCTTGTTACTACAGGGGAAACGATTCCCAAGGAAGCTTCTAGCTATATACTAGAAAGCTTCTAGTTCCTAAGAATGCAATGCAGAATGCATGTGAATCTTGGCCTTGCTCTCTGCGAGCGCCAGTTGTCTCCAATCTCGCGGGCACCCAAGGCTGGATGTGGGCGTCCTAGATTGCATGAAACATCATGAAACCCTCGCAGCAGTTTGTACAGCGAAGATTGGGGAACTTTCAGTTTTGCACTGCGTGCCTTTTGTGTGATTCCAGAGGATTTCCGCATATATTTGTAGCACCAAGATGTCCTGAGGTCCAGGATTCTTTGGTGTTGCTTCGGATGACACCTTCGTTCTTCCTCACCACACGCAGGAATGAGCTGCATGAACCATGACACACTTTGAGTTGCATCAGGGTCCAAAGTCCAAGGAGTCTCAGAAGAGATTCAACAAGAAATTCACTCTCAACCTTGCTCCATAGTGGTATTCTTGATCGTTCCTTTCCATGTGTTGCTTCTATGTTGCCACTGGGTATTTGCATGTATTTGTTGCACTTTATGCAAGGCATTGCACAATGCTTGGGGCGGTGACAAGCTTCGAACTAAGAACGTGTTGCATTTGTTTGCTTTGGATTCCTCAGACATTCATGGTTAGAGGCCATTGCTGTTAGGTTGGAGGCCATCGCTAGTAGGTTGGAGGCAATTGCTATTAGGTTGGAGGCCATTGCTATTAGGTGGGAGGCCATTGCTATGCTGTTGGAGGAGTGGTTGGAGGCCATTGCTATTAGGTGGGAGGCCATTGCTATTAGGTTGGAGGCCATTGCTATTCGGTTGCAGGCCATTGCTATTAGGTTGGAGGCCATTGCTATTAGGTTCAGGCCATCGCTATTAGGTCGGAGGCCATCGCTAGTAGTTCGGCCATTGCTATTAGGTTTCAGGCTATTGCTATTAGGTTGGAGGCCATCGCTATTAGGTCGGAGGCCATCCC